CTCAAAATCCAAGTATTACTCTAAATCTCCTAATCAAAATATTTATATCCTTTCTAAATTAAGTGTAAAAAAATTGTGTTATCAATAAAAGAAAAACTGCAGAAAACAAAACTATCTCTCTCTGATGATGAGTGGTCCAAATCCTTGTTATTTGTAGACTATACTATTTACTCGTGGCCGCTCCCTAAGTAATCAGCAATCTTACAATAAATTATTGCAAGTATCTCGTCCTTAATGATCTCCTTCAAATGCACGAATCGTTCAAATTATGCTAGCTTCTTCTTCTCTCAATAAACTGAATCTCTCGTTGGCCTGAGTGAAAAATGAATCTTGGAATATCTTTTCTTTACGATAAACTGAATCTCTCGTTGGCCTGAACAGTGACTCTTATAAGTAGAAAAATATGACTTACAATATTTTACTGGATCAGCTTCTGTCAGATACACTAACTACACGAAACCTCACAAACTTTCACTGCTACTGCTTCCTACCTCTGGGAAACTACCCGAGAACAACGGCCGTTCGCCTTGCACCCTTGGAAACCAACTGACCTATCTTTTCTCCCTCAAAATTCTAGCTAAACTTTCATTCCTACATACCTATCCCACCTTTTTTAATCTCCGCCAATCAAAACTCGTCACAATTCCCCATTTTTTCATTCCGATAACAAACAAATTTTTACCTATAATTATAAAATTTCCTAAAACTTATTTACAAATAATATTTTTCTACAATTCTTAAAAACTAACAAACACCTCTTTCTCAAATCTCTTCTATTGTCTTTAATCACTGTGTTAATGTATTTGGAAAACCCGGTTCAATTGTTCTTTGGATTTCACTTAAAATTATGCGGGTCACTCAAGTATAGTATAACAAAGGAAATAATTTATGCAGAGCTTACATTTTGTTAAATACAGGTAATCCAAAAAATTAAAAACTTTCTTTCTTCGAAATGTTTGTTGGTTATTATCCTACTTATCTGAATTATTTTAATGGTTTTGAACTTTGAAATATTTTAATCAAACCAATATTTTCTTGATTTTACATATCATAACAATATATATATATATATATATATATATATATATATATATATATATATATATATATGTTACGAGCAATGTCCGAAATTGAACAATCCTCGCATTGTACGAAAAATCTTGTCCACTTCTAGCATTGTACCCCTTTTCTGTACAATCTCCGAAATAGACATAATCGGCGGACTGTATATAAAAGAATTGCTGTACAATGTTTGAATTACAAGAAGTAGCCATGCATCAAAGTTTGGGAGAATATGACAGATATCGATTCATATCGATTTTTACTAACATATCACTCTATTTATTGTAGAACAATTTTTTTCTTATTTTTTAATTTTTTAGTTTGATTTAGCATTTTATCACATTGTCGATTTGAAAAAGAATAACTCTATAATATATAAATATAAAAGATCAAATTGTTCGATTTTTGATTTGGTGTGCGTTTCGATAATAATTTTTAATTTTGGTCATTTCGGACATTGTACAGTTTGGGGGTACAATGCTAGAAGTGGACAATAATTTCCGTACAATGCTAGGATTGTCCAATTTCGGGCTTTGCTCGTAACATATATATATATATATATATATATATATATATATATATATATATATATATATATATTATATATATATATATATATATATATAATGCGTCTATATTCTTTGTCCATACGTAAGATGGTTAGATACCTAACCTAAAATTATTGTTTTTTACAATAATTTTTTCCCTTTTTTTTTTTAGTAAAAATTAATAAAATGCGGGAATTGTCATGGCTACCAGAAGAACCTAATACTGTTAAATTTAAATACAATTTTGCAGAAACCCCAAGAATTCTACTTCTGAAAAAAAATAGGCGTAATCAACTTCAAACTCATTCGACTAAGTTGCCGAAACTTTATACCTCTCCTCTACTTGTTTATAGCAAGAAATTGAAAGGTTTATTATAGCTTTACAGAGGTGATCCATGTTCAATACCGCGTTTGTACCATAACTTATTTTTTCTTTACGGTCAAAGGAGGGAACACAGACGAAGGATGTATACATCAAGATTCTAAAAGTTCTAGTAGCAGCAAATCTAAAGAAGATAACGTTGAATAGAAATAAATGTAACCTTCTTCTTCTTCTAGTTCCATGACCGTTATAGATCGTTGGATATCATGTTGGCTACCATATTCGCTATCGTGACTTTATTGACAGCAGCTCTAAATAACGATGTAGTTGATTTTCCATACCATTGCCTTAGATTTTTCAGCCATGATGTTCTTCTTCTACCAGGACCACGATTACCTTGGATCTTTCCCTGAATGATCAGATGTAAAAGATCATATTTTTCAGGGTGTCTCATAATATGACCGAAGTATTCCAGCTTGCGTTTCTTTATTATATTGACCAGTTGTGTTGTTTGGTTCAGCCGTCTAAGGACCTCCTCATTTCTAACTCTGTCGACCCAGCTTATTTTCAGTAGTCGTCTGTATACCCACATCTCAAAGGCTGTCAAGCGTTTAAGCATAGCCTCAGTTAGGGTCCACGCTTCTACTCCATACAGCAGGACAGGAAAGATGTAGCAAGATATCATACGAACTCTAAGGTCAATGCTAAGATCGTGACTGCAAAGTACGTTTCCCATTTTTACAAAGGCAGCTCGGGCTTGTTCTATTCGACTTTTAATTTCTGCGGTTGGATCCCAGCTCTCATTGATATTACTGCCGAGATACACGAGTTTCTCTACTCTGTCCAGTGTGGCATCTCCGACTTTTATACCGTCATCATGTATATAATTTTGTTTGCTAACTATCATATATTTAGTTTTCTTAACGTTGAGTTTTAATCCATACTGATCACAAGTCTGTTTTATTTTGTTCATTGGATTTTGAAGGTCTTCTCCGCAATTGGCAAGGACTAAGGTATCGTCGGCATATCTAATATTGTTGACGGTTACTCCATTCACAATAATATCTTCGGTTGTCTCCATTAAGGCTTCCTTAAATATTTCCTCCGAATATAAGTTAAAAAGTAAAGGCGACAATATACAGCCTTGTCTCACTCCTCTTTTTATATTTATTTCATCCGACAGTTCTTGTTCAACCTTTATTCTTGCCACTTGATGCCAGTATAGATTTGTAATTATTCGTAGATCTTTATCGTCCAATCCAGCTGTTTCCAATATTTCTAGCATTTTGTTATGTCGGACTTTGTCAAAAGCTTTTTCAAAATCGATTGCACAAATATACACATTTTGATTTATATCTCTGCATCTCTGTACTAGCACCTGCATACTAAACAAGGCTTCTCTTGTACCCAAGCCACTCCTAAACCCAAATTGAGTATTGCTAATTCTGTCCTCTAACAGCGTGTAAATTCTGCTGTGTATTACTCACAGAAAGATTTTCAAAACGTGACTCATCAGACTTATTGTCCGATAATCACCGCATGTCTTTGGACGATGTTTCTTATGCAGGCCATTCACGTTCCGACTTGTGGTACGACTAGTGGTCCAACTTCTGCAGTTGGATCTGAAATCGGACCGTGAGTGGGCTAGTTGGAATAGTTGGACAACTAGTGGTACGACTAGTGGGACGACTTGAAGATCCGACTTCCGACTGGCGACGAAGTCGGAGCGTGAATGGTGAAGTTGGAAGTCGGATCACAGGTTGGATCGAAAATTTCCTCAGTCAGTTGACCTTCGGCACCTGTTACGTATGAGATTTCTATGAAATACTTTACGCAAAGATCTCTAGTTCGCTAATATTTAATGGAAAATAAACTTTCAATTTCACGAAAATTACCTTTTTGTTAGGGCAAATCATTTTTCTTTCTGTAGATCTATTTCGGACATTTCCATACAGGTAAATTTCCGATACACCGGATTGGCTACGGAAGAATTATCAACAAACAATGAAAGTTAAATTATAGTTGTAGCAAAAGATCCCTAGTTCGCAAAAAAATAATAGAAAATAACTTTCAATTGCACGAAAAATTATTCCTATTAAAAATATACGACACACACACAACAAAATAAATCCCAGCTCCATTTTAATTCAAATAAAATATAGATTTTATACCTACACAAATCTTTAAAAACTATAATTTTTTCCTACATCTTAAAAAGTCACAAAATTCAAGAGTTGAAAAAATTAATTAGTTCAGCCCTAGACAAATAACTAGAGAAACGAAACCTAATTTTTAAACATACATATCATAATATTATATTTTGCGTAGGGTTTATTCGATACATTGTTTGGTTAAGGGATGTACACCATCGTGAAAGCAACCTAGAACTGAAGTTGGACCGCTAGTTGGATAGAAAGTCGGAGCGTGAGTGGAGACGAACATCCAACTAGTAGTCCTACTAAGTGGGACCACAAGTCGGAACGTGAATGGCCTGTCTTAGGTATTGTGACAAATGTCGACTTTAACCTATTTTGTGAAATTTAAGATATTATTATAAAGTTCGTAATAAAATGTTTCTTTTAAATGATCGTATCATTTTTCCCTAAATTGTTCTGACGAAAAATGTAGTAACTCATATAAAAAAAACAGAATATATTAAGAAAAATATAATTTTTTGGTGATACATTTTGGTAACTGCATTTAAATAAACATACCTACAAACGTTTTGTTTTCAACAGTTAATTTTAAAATATATATAAAGCTGTATATATCAAAATATAAAGCTGTTGCTGCCACCTAGCGTCAAAATTAGAAACACAAACATACAATTTGGTAGACCTCTACATCTACACTACAATGGACTCATAGTCGATTGTTTATGCGCAGCTGACTACTATTATCCACTACATTAAGCCAGCTGACTTTTAAATTTAGTACCGGTTGCTGCGTTTAACTAAGTAATTGGTTTGTTGTTTGTTACTGGCTGCATTGAACTGCACTCGGAAACGTAAACAAACTGTTATTTTCGTGATGACCGGATATTTACCGCGATTTTCTACTTTATGAATGAGTTCAAATCCAACTGACATGATGGTAACTTGTACGGTGAAGTGTGCTGTGTAAAAAGAGTGTTAGATAGGAAGTTATTCATTTTGTAAATTTGTATACAAGGGACTCGAAAAGTACAGGGGCAGTTCGAAAAATTTAGTTTGTGTTATTAAAGAAACAGTTTTAGTAAAAGTTGATAATGTTGAACCCATGTGTCAAGCCTGAACCTCCAGAAGACCCTGTTGGTGATGGTAGATGGATGTCTATGGTGAGTAATTAATAAACTACAAGTAGTTTTATTAATATCATTTAAACAAATTTATTTACATAAATATGAGACTGAGTGGGTAAATAATATTAATATCAAGATTATAGAAAATATAGATACATGTTTTGAGTTTCATTATTGTTAATTATTTCGTCTTCTTAAGTAAAATGTTCTCTACATTCTACAATATTTTATATACAGGGTGTCCAAACGAAAACGATCTCAGAAAACGAGTATATAGTCGATATCAGGCACGCCATCTATAAAAACGCAGAGAGCCCTTGATTTTTGTTTGAAGAGGGATAGTTTTCCCGGTATTTTCTCTGCCATTCTTATCCTCAAGTAAGGCTAATAATTTTGATGAGTCATATCATATGTGTTTGCAGTTTTCTTTTATTTTTCATATTTTCATCTCCAAGAAAGGCGAAAAATTTTGGGGAGTCAAGCAATATGTGCTTGCAATTTTCTTTAAATACGCTTTATCCTGTTGCAAATTTTTGGATTTGAATTTTGATTTATTGCCTGTCATAATTTTTGTGATTAAGTATTTATTGATCATTAATATGAGGAGTCAGATCAACAAAGCATCTGCACTGTCAGGATGTCCGCGGGAGATAGTCTGGTCAAATCCGTATATGCGCACAGATAGTAAAATTAGAATCTATAAGACTTGCATACGACCGATCATGACATATGGCATAGAAGTGTGCGAAGATACTAACAAAACGAAACAGATGCTAAGGGTTGCCGAAATGAAAACCCTAAGAACAATAATGGGGAAAACAAGAAGAGACAGAGCGAGAAATACAAACATTAGAGAGCAGTGCAAAATTCAAGATATTGTAAGATGGGGAATGCAGCGCAAGAGGATGTGGTACAACCATGTAAGACGAATGGATGAGAATAGACTCCCAAAAATTGCCCTAGAAAACAATCCGCCCGGTTCAAGACCACCCGGAAGACCACCTAAAAGATGGAGGGATAGTTGGCAATCTACCTCCCAAGAAATTAACCAGAGGCAGCTTCAGAATTAAACAGATCGAAAGATCTACAAAAAGTAGAAGAAGAAGATAAGTATTTATTGCAAGCGTAAAAATACAGTATGGTATAAAGCGAACAAAACATAAAAAGAAATCAGTGGAGTCCACAGTAAATATCATTACAAATCGTTGTCTACCAAAAATGTAACGGGTGGTAATTCAATACGTCCAACGAAAAAAAAAACGAAACGTTATTCGAAACTGCGTCAAGTGTCAGAGTGGCAGATTTAAACAATTCAAGCCGTACATCTGTATTTTTTATGCTTCTATTTTTACTGAAAGGTTTCTTACTTAATAATCGATCATAAAAACATTTTATTGCTCTTGTATTTACAAACTAATATATGCCATGAGAATATCACAAACAATCTCACCTCGATTAAAATTAATATAAAATGCTGGTGTTTTCCTACACACAATTAGAATCAAAAGAATTATAAAAGAATATCTCGAGGTTCTCAGTTAATAGAATATATTTCGCCATTTCGTCATTAAAACGGAGCCACCTGAATTTTTTAATTGATAAGATTTTAATAATAAGAACTCTACAAGAAATTAAATCTAAAGCAGTATGCAACCATTTCTTAAATAACAAATGTCAAAAAAAAACTTCTCCCAAAATGACGATTTTACTTAATAGAAAATTTTAATAATTATCATTTTAAATTTTTTCTGTTTTATTTATAAAAAATACAATTAAGTCGTGATTTTTAATACTCTGTATTACCACCTCTATGTTTAATTACACTTCTTATTTAACTTGGCATTGAATTGATCAAATTCTGGATGTTGTCTTGTGGAAAACTTCACATTCTTCCATGAGAGCCAATCGAATCTGCTTGATTTATTGGAGCAGGTATTCTGTTTCTTACTCTTTGTTTGAGTTGGTTCCAAACATTCTCAATCTTGTTAAAATCTGGGCTTTGAGCCAGTCAATTCATTTTTGGCACACCCACGGTTTCCAAGTATTGCGTTACCATCCTGACCACGAGTCGCCGCCCGTGTTCTTGCATGAAAATAAAGTTTTCGCTCACAAACCTAGCAAAAAGCATTGCATGCTCGTCTAGAGTTTCGGTAATGTATCAGTGAGCACTCAACGCTACTTTATTAATAAACACGAGATCAGTAAGGCATTCGAATGAAATTAATGCCAAAAGCCTCCTCCAAAAGCAACACGTGCTCGTCGAGCACAGCCATCATATCGTTTCCTACGTCTTCTATACGTTCTGATGCGACCGTCTGAGCCACAAAGAAGGATTCTGGACTTATAACCAAACAAAGCATTTTTTAATTTTATATCATCCAATGCTCGTGGTCTCTAGCAAACTCAAGTAGGCGTTGTCGATGTGCTGCTGTTAACAAAGGTCCCGTTGTTGGGAAGCGAGCCCTTAGACCAAATTCCTTCTGTGTAAGAGAAATCATTAGAATATAACAAACCGGCATATCTGTTTCCTGGATCTTAAGAAGGCATTTGACTGGGTCAAATTAAAGAACGTTATCCACCTATTGTACACATGAGAGAAACCGTTAGGAATAATCAAATCAAAACGATCGAAAATATCTACCAAAACCACACAATAAAAGTAAAAGTGGAAGAAGAACTCACTGACCCTATTGAAGCTGGCTATTGGATAAGGCAGGGAGATTGCTCGAGTCCTCTATTGTTCAACTTGATTATGGATGAAATAATAAAAAAGTAAGAGCAAAAAAAAAGATAAATGGGAGAACACGAACTTAAAATAATCTGCTATGCAGACGAGGCAATACTACTTTCTCAAAATAAAGATGATTTACAACGTCATCATCATCATCATCAATCAGCCCTGAGTTGTCCATTGTTGAACATAGGCCTCCTCTAGATTTTTCCATCTGCTTCTGTTCTGCGCCTCTGCTATCCTTTTGGTCACGATTCTTTTGAGGTCTTCGGTCCATCGCGTTGGGGGTCTTCCTCGGCTTCGCTTGTCAGCCCGCGGTCTCCACTCAAGCAATTTTTTTGTCCAACTGTCGTCTTTCATTCTTGCAACATGTCCTGCCCATCTCCATTTTTGCCTTGTAATATGTTCGTAATGTGTCCTCAAAGCGACATATGCAGAAGCTCTGGATTAAAAACTCCACCGTCATTAAAAATAGTAAAATTTTAACTGTGTTTGACCGTGGTTAATACTTATATCTATTAAGTAATCAAAACTAGCTACATAATCAGATCAGATGTCGCTTAAATTACACAATTAGAGTAACGAACTCCCAAGATACTGAGTCGAAGATAGAGGATTACATTTTTTAAGAGAACCTACAATTTCCCAGCTCGAAAAATGTTTCTTACACCCTGAATGGCAACAACCAACTGTTGACAGATGGAAATAAAAATTGCTTTGAAATGACAAGAACTTCAACACAAGTGATAGGTAGTTTTTAAAACGTAATTGGAAAATATATGCCCATTAAGGGTGATATTTAGAATCAAATTTATATTAAGGTCATAATATTGTTTTAAATGATATTGACTTGTATGTATAGTACTATTTAGGGACTTAAATTAGAGTGCATTTTTTTAATAAAAAATAGTAAAATAAATAAATATCCTAGAGAAAAAAGATTCAAAACACCATTATGAATTCCATCTCCAGCGCTTACAATGTTCATTAAAACTCATTAACCATACTCTTAGTGCATGGCCCCTTCAGTGTTTAATCGTTGATAAAAATGTCTATTAGTAACTCAAGAATTATAAATATTCATAAAAACTGAAGAGATTATTTAAATTTATGTAAATAATTTGCGCATATTTAGCCACGTCGTATCTGGGGCAATAAAATTTAGTTCCCGGTAAGTATTATTAGAAAAAGAATAATCGTTTCAAGATATTTTCGTTTCTCGATCATAAAATATTTTTAATTTAAATTCTTTTTCTTTCATTTTATAGCTATTGTCATAAATTAAAAGTCTCTGATCTATATAGTAATAATTTATTTTAGTCAAACTTTACTTTATTATCAAGATCAAAGTGTTTTCAGATTCTATATGTTAATAATGATATTTTTGTGTAATGGTCAATTTTGTTAAATATTTGTTTCGTTAAAAAAGACATAAATCTATCGATTTTACTGCCTAGGATTTTAGTCAATGTTGTATTCAAAACAATTTACCTATAGATGTTAAAGGCTAAAAATCTATTGAAACTCAAAATGAATCGTAACAGATTTAGGCCACTAAAACTGAAAAATGGCAAAACCTTGCAATTTTTTCGTCCAGCATCGATTTGTACAAAAATTTGGGAATAGTCTCATTTCACCCTCTAGCTCATTGTCTACATATATTGACCCGTTGTACACTTTTCGTGTTTTAAGGGTGAAAACTACCACTAATTGTAAAAAATTATAACATAACATTTTATCCTTTAATATGGTTAACATTTAATTTTGAAAATCCACAAGGAAAATAAATTCCTGCAGCTGGCTGTATACCATGTATCACAAAAAGAGGTTTAATCTTTGTAAGTAGGTATATTTCTTCTTCTTCTTAAGGTGCCGTGCATTTCTGCGTAGGCGTCCACCGTACATCGTCTTGTCAGGTGAGATGTTAAATATTCTGGATTAAATAATTCTGTTTTTAGCAGCATTGCGAAGCATTTCATAGCTGTGGATTCCTGTCCATTGTCGAATATTGCGCAGCCATGACATTTTTTTACGTCCGAGACCTCTCCTACCCTCTATCTTCCCTTCGAGTATCAGTTGCTGAAAAGTGTATCGTTCTCCTCGTATAATGTGCCCCAAGTATGCAATCTTCTTACTTTTTACATAATTAAAAAGTTCCCTATCCTGTAAGCCCGCTCTTCTGAGTACTTCCTCATTTCTGACCCTGTCCGTCCATGATATTCTGAGCATTCGACGCAGGCACCACATTTCAAACACTTCAAGTTTGTTAATGGAACTGGCCTTTAACGTCCATGCTTCCATTCCG